TTTTTTAGGCTGCTGAATCTGGGGCTTGAACTGTATAGTCAGCCATGTGGGATCTCGCCACCTTAACCCCATGTCGCTGGCTGTCCCTCTACTGTCCTTTCGGAAGAGAAGGAGCAATTGTAGCTGAGGTAGAGTTGTTCACCATATTTTAATGCCTTCTCTCATTGATCTTGGCATATCAATGAAGACTTCAGAATTTTTGAGTTTTAGAGTCGGTGGGTAAAGGAGGAAGCTTGTTTCTCACAGGAATATGCAGATTAGTGTTATATGAAGACTATAAGCACTTCTGTTGGGTAGGGGGGAACAGCAATATGAAGCAAACATGGGAGGTACAGCTCTTAAGGTAATTAATATAGGGTATATAGAAGTCGAAAGCTATTAAGATAGTTTATGTGTAGTGCTTTTTTTCTTTAGCCATGCAGACTTGTCCCTCGGGTTCCAGTTCAGAAAGAGGATTCTTAAAGTGTGCCATCACAATTGCTGCCAGACACCAAAAGAGTCAGCTTAGTTCCTGTGGCTTCCTCTGGAAATCCCTCTGGTCCCTGGAAGCACATTTGCACATGTGTGCACACGCACATATGCAGGCACACACCCTCATGCACACATGCACACAAACTTAAAACAAGGGAAGCCAGAGAAATCATGGATACCATTTAATTAGTCATATTTCTTCTGACTCAAATCATGAAACAATGATTTTATTTCATCCAGTAACTCTTGTGGATTTTTAATTTGAACAAATGGTTTGTGAACTGGAAACATTTTCTTTCTCCTGCGTTATAGGTTGACTATAGCATAAGCCATGCAAATTAAAAGTGATTCTGTCAATTTGTCTTAAAAATAAAAATTATCCTGACCTTTCCATATGTCAAATACAGGAATCCCTGTTTGCCGAAGAGGCAGTACCACTGATAGCAAGACAACAGGTTCAAGAGAGTTGTTGAAAGCTTCCTTTTTCTATAGGAAGGGTCAGAGTCTCTGTGAGTGGGGTATTGAGTGTCAGAGAGACCTCAAATGATCACTTCCTGTTTGGAGACACTCTTGAGCTCTGGACAGAGGGGAGTAAGCAATTCTTTTAAAAAAGCCCATAAAGTAGTTCATGTCCCCACTACATTTTATTTTACATGAAATTCTCTATTGATTTTTTTCAATTTATTTTTCTGTAGCTACTAAAAATTGCTTTTAAAAAAGCAGTTTTATTCATTCCTTATGGCCAGTATGGGAAGGCCTGCTTGAAATGCAACTAAAACTCTATAGTGCCCTCTAGTGGTGAGAAAATCTAAACCACAGTTTTATAGTCTAGCTTATGCTTTACCCTTTCCCCATTGGCTTTATGAAGTAGGCTAACCTACGTACTCTGAAGGTTATGAAGAGGACTTCTCTAGTGACACAACAGTGAAGTTAGAGCCCCTACATTTAATCATACCTCCACGCCTCTAGACTAGCAGCACTGAGACAAGTGGTGTCTGGGAGCTTGTGAAGAAGTTATCTCATTAGCTGTTAGCATGTGAACAAAATTAGGAATGCTAACTGTAAAAAATCAACAAACCCAGTCTACTGAGTGAGGGGACCCTTGTCTCTAATGCTTCTAGGTAGCCCACTTAGTCCAATATGAACAGATTTGGGACCTATAAAACTTGAAATTCAAAAAGAGAACTAAGTACAACAAACACCTGCTTTGAAACTAAACAGGTCTGGGCTCTAAGCCAGCTCGTGCTATCTGGTAAGTATTTAACTTCTAAGCCTTAGCTCCTCATGTAGCAGGAGGCCAGTAATAATCACCCTTCATGGAGTTCCGGACTTGAAGTGAGAAAATGGATGGAAAATATTGCCCTCAAATTGGTAGCAAAGGGTATTAATAAAAGGGAGATTATTATTGTGAGGAGACTAGGTAAGGAAAGGAATTTATTTTATTTATTTATTTTGCTAGAGAGCATATGCAGTTGCCAGAGACTGAGAAATAAGGAGAAGATAACGCACTCCTCACAGGGAATGGTCACACTGCAATTTCGTCTACATCTTTCCCTACTTTCAGGAATTTAGCGCACACGCGCGCGCGCGCACACACACACACACACACACACACACACACTTGGTAAGTTTCACTGGGTCTGGGACTCCAACCATGGGTAGGCCATTTGGGATCTGGCTGTTCCAACCACTAGGCCATGGAGCTGGCCTAGAAAATTATTTTATTAAGCTACACTTTTCTTTAGCTAATAGGATCACAGGTTAGATTTATTAAATTCTCTTGAACTTTGGGTGCATTCTCTTTGCCTAACATCTGAAGTCCCCAATTAATTACCCACTCTTAGAAGTCAAAGTCCTCTAATAATCACACACTATTCAAAACTACTTGTTCATTCTTTTTATTTTTACAAAGCATGGCAAAATGAGGAAACAACTGACAGGTGAAGAATTTGCACAATTAAAAACCACCCTGACCATCTCATGATTTCACAAGACCCAGAGATGGATAAGTGTTCCTTTAAAATGATTTTGTCGTAAAAGCATCATCTGAAATGATTTGGAAGACAGGAAAGAAAAATAAAACCAACATTCACAATTATTCAAAATGACTTAAAAGCTAAACATAATATACATAGTAACTCCTTTATCCTAGTATAAAAATAGTGCCAGAAACTATATATTTGTTCAAATATATTGAAAAGGTATAAGAATACAAATAGATATTAACAGTGGCTAGTGATGATTCATAACGTTCTCTCCTTTTAAACTGTAATAGAAATTTATATTTTCAACTATTTACATTGCTTTCAACAACATTCATTAAGACACAGGCTTTTGATGAGTATATGGAAGGGCAAAGTGAGCTTTTATACTTTCTTCTTCACTCTCTATGTTAGAGCAGAAGGGGTCCAAGATGACACACTCTATTAGTCCATGAGAACTCTGGGTAATGCCTACCCGGGTAGCTTATGTGAAAATCTCTATACAGTGGGATATGTGACTCCTTATATAAGGTGTTCTTTAGCTATTATTGGATTAAGTGATTCCTACTTGCATGAAGACAGGGTGTTCACTGATAGAGTGTTAATAATTTCAGGTAAAGAAGGTGCACAATATGTATGTGACAGATGAACATGAAATTGATGTGATATACTCTCCATGTTTTCAAATTAAATTGGTAGGATCTGAAGTCATGAAGTCCTGTCCCCAGCACCTCCTGCATAGACTGTGAACACCTACCTTGAGGTCACTGCTGAACAAAGTACCTTCAGGAGGCAGGAACTCGATAAAAGGTGGATTGATGCATATTTGACACTGAGCAACTGAATTATTCCACCTTATTTTAATTACATGTTCACAGGAAAGGATGACAATTACACCCACCTCCCACCCCCACATCTTAAATCAATGTTTTTTAACAAAAAGAAGAGAAAAGTAAAAACAGATAGTACTGCTTGCAATGGCCTAAGTTTTTAGAGTACAGTTCAGTGAAAAACAGGGAAATTGAAAATCACATTGGAGCAGGTCTAATATTTGTGCTCTGTGCTGAAAGTAAAGGCGCTCCACTGCTAGGCAAGAGTATATCTCTGACCAAACTATTTCCTCCCCAAAGCCTATATTCCAGGACATTTTCACACACTTGCTTATTGTCAAGTTAAAAACAACTGTTATTCAGAATCAAGAGATCAGCAAGGACGACATCATCACCACGTTTGTACGTAGAGTCTAGAAGAGCTCTGAATCCCACACTCCCCAGTGGGAGTGTAAAGGTGAATACAGAAACTGTCATTTGTCTTGGCCTTGGAAACTCCATACGAGAAATGACACATGGGATTAGAGCGCCTGCTCTCTGGCCCACTCCCATTTGTGACAGTGGTCTCCAGGGCCCATTGGGGCTTATAACATACCTGTTCTGTGATAACCTCCAGAGACGAAACCTTTACCCAAACATAACTCCTTTAAAAGTCCAATTTGTCCAGCCACAGAGAGGCTGAGTGACTTCAACAAGTTCACACAAGATTGCAATTGGCAAAGATGAGTCCTTTGAAAAATCTAAGGTCGGGCAATTTTATAGACATCTTGTAACAAGTCTCTAAAATACTGGGGACTCTTTTGTGACTTAAATTGATATTAAATGAATATCATGTTACTCTGTTATAACTAAACAAAGAATTTAGAATAAGAATAACTTCTCATGAGTTAAGCGTAATATAAATATATGGTATGGTGACGAAGGACTATATGTATTTTTTTCCAGCTTAAGTTCTTAAAAGGAAATGTTCACTTAAGAACAAAAGCTTGGATTTGTTAATGGACCATAGATAATTCATCATGTATAGAATGATTTTCCTAAAAATTAAAATAATATTTGAACCAATTAACCAATCTTAAATTTCTTCTGTGGGAACTAAAATATACAACAATAAGATACATATGGCATTGCACAACTTCTTTGAATGTCTCAACTAGTAAAGTAAAATAAACTATAATCCAAAGGCAAACCAAACAATATCTAACTTAAAAATACCTTCTTGCAGGACCAGCAATTTATGTAATGGCTATGTCACTGGACTCCCATGTAGTCAACCACAGTTCGAATCCTGGACTCGGTGGCTTAAACTCACGCTGGGTGCATATGCATGCGTGCCCAAGATCCCGAGAGGAGAAAGGAGGAGAAGGGATTGCAGTGTGGCCATCCCCACTGAGGAGTGATTTCTCGCTTTCTGTCTCTCTGTCTCTGTCTTTCTGGCAAGTGCATGCGCCCTATAGCAAAAACCTCTTCAAAACAAAACAAAACCTTCTTGCAGTACCAGCAGATGGCATAATGGTTACATCGCTGGACTCTCACATAGTCAACCACGGTTCAAGTCCTGGACCTGATGGCTTAAAACTCACACTGGACACATGTTTGTGTATGCCCAAGATCCCAAGAAAAGAATAGAGGAGAAGGAACTGCAGCATTGTCTCGCCCCCTCCGGGGGGCTGTTTTCTCTCTTTCTGTGTCTCTGGCAAGCACATGAGCCCTATAGCAAAATCTCTCTCTAAAAGAGAATCTTCTTGCGTGTTAAAATATAACATAAAATCCTCTACACACAACCATATCTTTAAAAAAAAAAATTCTCAGTGACATATATTAGAGGGATCTAAACAAACTACTAAAAGATGTGACTACATTTTTTTGGCATAATTGCTAAATCACAATGTGTGTGATAAAAAGACAGGTTTATTAACTGTTGCTCTTCTTCCAAGAGTTTCCCTATACTAAAGAATTATGTATGCATGCATAGATGTATACCAGTATGTAGACCCAATTATTATTTTAGTGACAGTCTGTGTAATTACACACCAGTGCGACCAACAGGCAACCTCATCAATTTCATCTGTATGACATAAAATAAAAATAAAATAACATCTTGACAATATTAATATAAGTATCATAATGATACTATAGGGAGTAGTAAACAGTCAATAACTTCTGAGAATAGCCGTTACCAATACAAAGCAATACAGTTTGTTTTGTTTTGTTTTTAACTTGAATGGTGAGAATAAGGACATATTATTGAATGTGCTGAATTTTAGGCAACATTTTTTTAAAAAGGGATATGAATGGGAAATAGTGTTTTAATAAAAGGTCTTCAAGAATGCTGTAATACCATGCCCCGAAGTAATTTTAGTATCCAAATTAGTGATGGAAATATAGTGATTGAATATCTTTTTGGGGGAGTGGTTGAAGGGTTCCTAATTAACAAATTAGACAAACCTCTCTTTTCCTATTCTCCCCAAAGCCAAACATTTCTGCATAATTGGAATAGATTTTCCTTTCCTAACCCAGTTGCTTGATTCATTATTTACCTCTGCAATATTGACTAACTATGTTTAGGGACACACATATGCAATAGTAGACTGGTCTCTAATTCTAAGACATTGTTAGCAGTACTAAAAACTGTGGAAAGGAATTCCACTAACTCCACCCTAAGGGCAGTGTTAAGGGAACATACCCAAACTTCCGTGATTCTGGGCTGATCTGTCCTTTAAACTCAAACATGGCAGCTTCTCAACTACAATCCATTATCTATTCAGGTGTGTGGTTTCTCCCTTGCAACTCCCTTGAATTTATTTTGTAGCCCTAGTATTGAACAAAGCTCTTTGTGTTTATATAATTTAAACTTTTTTTTTTTTCAATACTTGGCTTGACAGAAGAAAAAGATACATTTTGTACTCTCTCATCCGTAGTCATATCCCACTCTAGGTCATACTCTAATGATCACTTCTTTCTCACTTTCCTGTTGATACTTAAGCTGTTAATTTACAAATACTCTCTGTAAGGAGATGAAAGATGAGAAAATTATTCTAAGATGTTAAATATTTAAAATGCTGACCCTCAGAGGCATGTTCCAATAGAACATTTCTCTCTGCTGGTAGACACCCATGGTCTTCCATTTCTGGAACATGCTCATCCCTGAATAACAGCAAGAACTACAATTTCTCCTAAGATTTTCCCTGTGTTACATCAGATAGGTTGGACTAAAATGAATTTATAGGTAGTTTTAGACAGTTTTAATACACCAAATGAGAAAGTTCTGCTTTGCCTGTTCACTGACAAAAACAGCCAATCAATTTTAATTAATATGATTTCTTTACAGTACTGCCTCACAATCCTCTGCTTTTATTTTGGACTGCCTTGACTTTTTATTAAGATGTTTGTTGACAAATATACCCCTTTTCCTCTTCAAATCCATTCAGCTGGCGTTTTTCTCTATCCAAAAAAGGCTTTAAATGTCACAGAATACATTCAAGTTGCTCCCAACCTACTTTTGAGTGAGATTCCAAACATTCTTGAAAAGACTGGTGATGCTGAAAACACAAAAACTAATTATTTAAAATCCCCAAGCAAAAAACAACCTCAGTGCAAGAATGCCACTTGCACATTGCAGTACACAAAGTATCACAAACGGCGCTCTGACCAGTGTGCTAAGTGGGTGTTGTTGATTATTTCGGTTCAGTGGCATGAAACAAATATACAGAAAACATGGAATAGTCCCTCAAAAACATTTCGTGTTATGCTCTCAAAAGTGCAAAATAAAAATACAGCAGTGGCAAAGTATACACCAATCTGTAGGATGCACGGCAAAACCAGGCGTACCGCAGAATTCACCGTCTCTGTAAACTTGAACTCTGCAGGAGATGGGCCACTCAGTTCCGCTTGGCCTGGCTGCTTTCCCCATTAATCAGTGTCTTCTCCTGCTGTTCGGCAAGGGCCTGCCATTTTTGCCTGTTCTTTCTGCAGCCATCCAGCAAAGGGAAGCAATCTTCTGATACATGGGTCAGGGCCTAGAGAAAAAAAAAGGATGCCGACAACTGGATGGATGCCAGGAAGCCAGCCCTCTCCCACAGGCCTGCCACTGAGGGCCATGTCCCACACTCAGTTTCCCACCCTGGGGTTTTCACTAGCTGTGTGAATACATACAGGGTCGTTTCTATACGATTCCTCTTAAACGGTATAGATAAGGAGTACATGCTGGGAGACAGAGCAAAAGCATACTTTCCCAAACATCATTAAGCTGTGTAGACAGATTGGCGTGGATCTGCTTTTTGGGAAAACTATTCATTTCCTTTCTGTGTAGTACAGATGGCTCTCTAAATGTGACTGCTTTTGGGAGCTGCTTAGCTTTTGCGTTTTTCTACACAATGGCCTTATATAATGTACTTAGATTCTTATCCAAGGTTATAATAGCAATTAGTTTATAATTTAGTGTGGCATTATTATTTACCAACTCTAGTGCCATAAAGATTGAGCTACGAGAATGTTCAATGCAGACTTCTGTGTAACAGAAACTATGCCAATGACTTACATCTCCAACAACATGAGCATATTGCATTAGTATTTTTTAACAATTAAAAGTGTCAGAGAACCACACTCACGCAGAAAGATGCGTACTGGGATATATTGTGGATTGTAAAGAACGGTTTTGATTAAATAAGAATATGGAAATGTCATAAAGCGTACACTCTAATGTCTTAACATTAGTTATCTGGGTAGTGAGATGAGTGATTTTATCTTGTTTTAGCTCCTCAGTATTCTTTGATTTTTCTACGATAAAAGACTTCTGTAATAAGTAATGTTAAAAACACATATAAATATGACAAAATTTTCAACAGCAGAACCAAATCAAATGAATGCTTAAACATACATGAAATGAAGAAGGATAAAATCTATAATGGGTAATTTGGTGAATCTTTTAACTCCATTTATAGGGATAGGGAAAAATGAGAGAAGCCATTAGTATTTTCAACTGAAGAACTCGTCATCTGATCAATAAGGAGTGCACCTATAATGGAAAGAATGAGATGCTCCAGGGTGTCTGAAGCACGGCCCTGAACATGTTTCTGAGGAAGAAGGTGTAAGCAGAGTAGAGAATCAGGTTGAGAAAAGGGGGGAGAGTTGGGGCAGAGGTGCAACGCCTGGTGGCTTTGCCCTCCGTTCCCTTAGGTGTGTCTCCTTTCCTTTCCTCTTCCACCTATCCCCTGTAAACCACAGCTTCTTTTATTGAGGTCTTCGGATGGAAAGAACCATGGGCTAGGAGTGAGAATGGCACTCCAGGTACAATTCACCCACTAACTGCCTGTTTGGGATGAATAGTTCTACTCCCTGGAGGATGGACTTTACAAATCAGTGACTGAATCCATGAAATGTCTGCTCTAGAACATTTTCTAGAATGTCTTCTGGTTTTGACAGCCTATGAAAATTACTCCATGAGGAATGTTTTTTTCCAAATAATGAGAACTTAAAACCATTGCCTGGTTAGCATTTTAAAGACAAGGACAGTATGTAATTTTTGTACTCTAAGCTGGTATAATAGATATTTTAAAGAAAATCTATTTACTTAAAAAGCACAAAAAGCCAGCCCAACAGATGTATGAATGGGAACCTGCAATATTATTCTAGTCACCTCCTTTTAATACTTGTGCACATTTTCTTAATAATATAAAGCCATGTTATGACAGTGAAAAAAAAAAGCTGGGTAATTATTTTTTCTTATGTAGGCTTAATTTGGACTTCTAAAAGGGTATGCTAATGCAGAATATGCATAATATACTTTGATTCTTCTTAGCATCCTGTAAATCATTCTACTAGACCCTGCACACGGTAGGCACACGATAGTTAGTATATGATAGGATATACATGGGATGAATGAAAATTTTGAGAAATAGTAAATATAATACAAAATGTATTCCTTGTGCAGTCTAAACATCATGTTTATCAGTAAAAGAAACAATACTGAAAAAAATATTTTTTGTTTCTTGATTTAGATGCAAAAACAATGTGCCTCATATTCATCTCTTCTTTATTCTATTCAGGTTTTAATTCACAACTCAGTCAAGCAAGCCTAGTGTTTTCATATAAATACCTCATACAGTTGCAAGCAGATGGCATCTATGAATCCAACTTGCATACTTGGGATTTTGTTTTTCTTCTCTCTGTTCATTAGATCCTGAAAATACAAATACAGACACACAAGTCTGCATTTATCTAAAGAACACAGTGAAAACTGGCTCTGAAAAGATAGGTGAACCTAGGAAAGTCAGAGATAGTAACAATACCCCTCCGTGCAAGCACACACACACACACACACACACACACACAAAGAACCTATGCTTCATTTCCAGGAAACTCATTTCAAAAGACAGAAATAGTTTGGGAAGAATCCTTTTCTTGCATGTGAGATCCACATACTATAAAATGGCAAGACAAGAGGACATGAAAGGCTGGTTCCATAGCCTAGCGGTTAAGGGAGCTGGATCCCACATAGCTGACTGCAGTTCAAATCCTGGCCCTGGTGAATTATAAAATACACTGAATATGTGTGTGTGTGTGCCCTAAATCATGGCAGGATGAAGAAATGGAGGAGAAGGAATTGTAGCATTACCACATCCCACTGGGAAGTGCTTTCTCTTTCTCATGAACACATGTATCCTCTGGATATTTAAAGAAAAAATTTTGCAGAAAAATGATATTAACGTGTAAGTTTATTTTGGTGCAAAAAAGTTTGGAATTCATGCATAACTTTTTTTTTTTAAATGTTATATGAACGTTTTGAAGACCCTCTCCTAAGGTATTAAGAACCTTTAAATTCTGTGTCTTTTAACAACAATACTGGGTATTTAGCATCACAAATAATGAAGAAAGGCATGCAAAAGTGTAACATAGATGTTTTTCACAGTGCTGTTTGTAACTGGGAATATTACAAGCATCATTACACCAGAGCAGTTGGGTATAGTACACTTCCAGCTACTTTGTATAATTATGGTAACTAACACATAGAAGAGCATCTGTTAGAATGACAAGTGATTTATGATATTTAAATGGAAAAGGCGTATTACACTAAAAATGATACAACATAATGCCCCCAAGAGTCGTTTTTGTCCTCTTTTGTATGCTTTTGCTTTCTGTAATAGACATGTATTATTCTCCTAATAAGAAAAGAAAGTTTTAAAAATGAGAAATATACTCCTAAGGGAAGATCTCACAAAGCTTTAAAAGGAGTCTACAGTTAAAAAAAATACATTTGACTAATTTCTTACCAATAAGGTCTCATACTTACAGTGGGCTCTATGTTGAGTTCTTTTCTCTCTCTGTCTCCTTGATCAAAAAATTCAGTTGCTACAAGTTCTGCTATCTGAAATATATAACAGACTGAGTTTGGGCAATGAAAAGCATATGGTTCTTTTTTAAAAAAATAGGTATTGATTATTCACATTTAATCACATTATGTCTTTACAGTGCACAATATGGGCCTTTCCCAGCATGACAATAGTGCCTATCAGTCTTGACAAAGATACCACCATATACATTATTATCAGCTAATAACTTTTCATCTTGGTGTCAATTAAATGTATTGTTTGCTTTTTCCCTGTTCTCCTCTCTCCCTTCCCCTATTACCCACCCCTTTCTACCCCCACACCCTGTACTATCTCTAGTATCTACAGTTGCCCTCCTGATATGGTGCCTTCCAGTTTTTCAGTTTCTACTACAGAGCACAGACATTTGGTTTATCATTCTTTGAAAAAGAAAGATTTTGAATGAAGATAAGAAAATCTATCAGTTCTATAGTTTTCCAACCATACCCGTCCGTATAATTAGAGAAAAGCAGTAAGGAGTAATAGACATATTTCATGCAGTTTAAGTGTCTGACTAAGTACAAAGTGAGAGCTTGTTCTTCAGTAACAAAGCATAAAAAAAGCAACATGTCATTTCAAGTTCACCAAGTAGTGGGAAAACTGTGGGCCTATCTGTATGCATAATCAATAAGATATTTACTCTGCACCTGTTAATAAAAGGTGCCGTGGAAAAACAAACATGTCAAACAGGTCCACATGTTGCAAGTAGTTGATATGCTTTCTTTCTTTTAATTGATGTTTTTCCTTTTCTCCTTTTAAAAATTTTCCTTACATGGGACCAGCAGATGGTGAAATGGTTATGTTGCTGGAACCCCATATAGCCAACCACAGTGCAAGTCCTGTACCCAAAGTCTTGAAACTCATGCCAGACACTTTGTGCATGTATGCCCAAAATCCCAAGAGGAGACTGGAGGAGAAGGGATTGCAGCGTGGCCTTCCCCCTCGCCAGGATGTGTGTGTGTGGGGGGTGATTTCTCACTTTCTGTCTCTCTGTCTCTCCAGCAAGTACACATGTCCTATAGCAAAAAAACTCTAAATTTTTTTTCTTACGATATTTTTGTTGTTAATAAATAAATGGGTTGTTTATCCTGTAAAGTTGCCAACGGCTTGGATTTTATGGGTTGCATTTCTGTGATGCCATGTGACAGGTTTCTCCATGTCTTGTATTTCCACACACTGGCAGCGAGCTCTAGAGGCTTGCTTAGATCGAGGGTTTGATGTTTCCCTCCCGCACTCATGGTTACTTCGCTGTCAGTGCTGCGGTAATGCTGTGGTTGCCTGCTGTGATGTTTGTGATGTTAGCAATCATTTCATGATCCCGGCCAGGTCCACTAGAGTCAGGACCGAACAGGGTAATATTCAAAGCCAACACTCCTTCCCCCCTGGTTCACTGAAATAGCATAAAGAGAAATGCCCCACATTAATTATTAAACTATACTTAAAGCATAATTTGAATAAGAAAAGCAGGGAAAATGTTTGATTTTTCCGTACTTCATCTGTTTTCCAAATAACTTGATTCTGAGGCATCCACTAAAGGTGACTATGGAAGGTTTTGTTTTTATAATTTTGAACTCCGGGGGCTTAAATATTTAAAGTAATTTAATCCTTATAAATGCTCAGTGGGTTCTGTTTTGGCCAGTGGAAGCTGATTAAATTAGCTCGTCTTTTCTTTAGACAAAAGCCTTTGACAGCCGCCTTGCTCTGTAATGGGCCAGAACCAGCCTAAATGACAGAGACCTGGCGCTGACCACTATTTAATGAGTTTGCTTGGAGGACGCGTGCTCGGGAAGACTGAGGGGCCTCAGGTATGAACCCTGCTGTAGGGAGAGACTGTGGATGCTGGCGGCACCAGAGTGACCAATCAGACAGCACCAGTTTCAGTAATAGACCAACAGGACTGCAATGTAAACTGACCAACATGACCTGCGCAAGTTCCGATCCTTCATTTGCATACAGGAAGCTAGCTGAAAACTTGAGAGGAAATGTACTTCTCTATAAAAGCCCATCTCCAAATAGGTTCAGGGAAATAAATGGCTTTCTAAGCAGACCTAGCTGTCTCCTGATGACATCGGCTATAATAAAGCCTTCCTCCTCGTGAAATCCCCTGGTTCAGAGTTTGGCTTCTCGGTTGGCAAGAGATTGTTTCTGATCCTTACCTTTCTTGGTTCAGAAACACTTTCTGGAATAACAAGATACTCTTGACGCATCTTGTATGCTTCCTGCTCTATAACTGCAATCGACCATTTCTTCATGGAGGCCTAGTTCCTTTAAAATGAGGTATTTAGAAACCTCACTCTGGGTACTAGTTTTGTTCATTACTGGATCAGTTATTACTTTGAAGCCCTTTTAGGGGACAGAGCTAGGGCACAACCTAAGCTTATTCAAATTTCTAATTTGAATTTAAGACTATAAGAGTCCTGAATAACCTCACCCACCTTTATCTTTCCACTCAAGCTGAAAATACTAGTTCAACAAATACCAATATAATTTCTTATTTGCTTTTATTCCACAACACCCTCAATAGTGAATGAATATCAATACAAGTTTGCTACAAGTAATACAATTATTAAAACTTTTTTTTTTTTTAGGGTACATCTCACTAGAGAAATGGTCAAATTACTGTTTTAATGTTATTTAGAATGAATTTGTCCCTCTCTGTGTGGTTTTACAACCCAAATCAGGTTTGTTTCATTTTACTTCCTCAGTTTAATGATTTTTTTAATATATTAAATTTTATTCTATAACTAGACAAATGATTAAGATGATTTCAAAATTAATTTGCAAAAGAAATACATGCAGGGCCAGTAGGTGGTGTGGAAGTCAAGGCACTGAATTCCCACATGGCTGACTCCAGAATTCAAGTCCTGGACTGGGCAGCCTGAAAGGCACAATGGCAGCATGTGCATACATACCCAGGAGCTGGAGGAGAATGGAGGAGAAGGGACTGTGATGGCGCTGCCCGATGGGGTGACTTCTCACTTTCCCTCTCTCTCCTTCTCTCTGTGTCTCTGGTGAGTGTATGTGCCCTATAGCAAAAACTAAAAAATGAAAAATAGGAGGAGAAGAAGATAATGCACACAAAACTCTAGCTTTTATAGCTATTCCATCAATCTTATTCTTTCCTTCCTCTATAGGAAACCGTTAACTTTTTGTGTGTGGTTAATTTTTTAATAAGTAAATATGTATTTATATTCATTATTTTCCCCTTTGTTAGATAAATGGTAGCATATCATTCATATTTTTTCCTGCTTTGCTATTGTTTTCCACTTAAAAGTCTTCATAATCACTCCATAGTAGTAGAGAGGCCATCTCATATCTTTTAACAGTTACACAGAACTCGTTGTATAAAATGTACTATAATTTGTTCAGTTAGTACCCTACTGATGAATATTTGAGTTATTTCTAGTCTTTGCTATCATAAATAGCACTAAAATGAATACCCTGGTATAAATATCTTTTATATTTCTGTCAGCATATCTTTGGGCTGAGATTCCTAGAAGTGAGGGTCAAGGCATATGTAGACTTATACCCTTCCAATGGGTTATCATATTTTACATTCCTTGTTTTCCACAGCTTCTCCACCAGAGTATGTTGGACTTTTGGAGCTTTGCCAACTTGACTATTGAGAAATGGCATCTCAACAAATTTTTAGTGCAGTTGAATTTATATACTGTGAATTGCACAGATCACAAGTATGATAGTTCCAAGTATTAACAAATATATGCATGTGTATATATAAATAGCCATATAACACACACTCCATCCAACATAGAGTATTTCCATCATCCCAGAAGGTGCCCTCATGCCCTTTCCCAGACATTCTCTGTCCCTTTTTTAACCTCCTCCCCCCCACAACCACTATTATAATGTATCTTACCATAGGTTAGTTTTGCCTTATCTAGAACTTTAAATAAATGAAATCACAGTATGTATTTTTTTTGCATCTGGCCTCTTTTGCTCAGCAAAAGTTTATAAGAATTAGCTAAGATGCTGCATGTACCAATGGTTAGTTTATTTTTAGTACTGAACTGTATTAAATGATGAAGTTATAGTCTACATTATATTAAACAATTCTGTTGACAGAGCTATTTTAAAAGTCTTTAGGAATAAAGCTATTAGAAGATTCTATACAAATCTTTTTGTATCTATATAATTTTAATTTGCATTTTTAAAAAGAATTATTTATTTTATTTTATTCATTCATTTATTTTAATGTGACCAGACACACACATACACACACACACACACA